ATAGAACAATGAACAGAGATTAATAGTTCCTGATGTCTATGTGAACTGGGGCCTGTTTTGCCTAGTGTCAGGGCAGTGATCAGGTGTTCAGCAATTGGATCTAAAGACAAACACACACCAGTAAATAAAGACATTTAAGCTTCATTATTAGCTAAAAGAGACAGATTGCAAAGCATAATATAAAAACCAAGAAAGATAACACATCAGGAGCTCCTTAATGACTGTAGAGATACTCCAAGAATAACCAATTTCTGCAGTATCTAATACTAGGTTATGTCTAGACATTTCAATCAAGCAACAACAACCCTGCAGTTTTTGTCAAAATCTGTCACTATGGCTTCATAGCCCTGCTATGGTCAGAAGACTGCAAGAACTGACCTTGACTGGCACATGACTCTGGGATGGAATCAAAAGTCGGAGACTTTCACAGCTTTGAATCTTTGAAGTAAGGTGAAAATTGCTTCCCCTTTTCTTTTATTCAGTAAACAAGAGTAAAAACACCACGCAGGCTAACTCATAATGAGTTCTAAACTTCTAGTTAATAGAAGAAATCAAAATACGTATCTCCTTGGAATAACAATGGTTGCCGATCTATTAGACAGCTGATACTCTCAGAACCTCTACACTGAAAATATATAACAGATCTATATATTCTGGAAGTTCAAAAAGGAAACTGTACTTAATAATCAATCAATATAATTTATGAACTTTTTTTTTAACCAATGGTATGAAATAATTCAAATAATAAACATATAATAGTTTATGGAAAGAAATAAACATTTGATGTTAATATTCATAAATAAGCAGTAATAATCCATGAAAAATTAACACATTATTCAATTCAATGAGAGGAAAATGAATGTAGAGAGTAGTGCATTTATTTCAATGAGGGAAAGGCAGGCAATTCAGAGAGAAACAATTCAGTAAGACAAAGTATAGAAAATCTCAGAGATTACCTTGGAGAAGCTATGTAGAGATAACTGCAACAGCATGTAAACAAAATATGCTTTAAGTCCAGGAAACAAACAAACAAAAGAATAGGAAGAAAGTTCTGCTCCTGGGATATCAGAAAGAAGAAAAGAAAATACTGTGATGCTTCCGAAGTCTTGTTATCATAATTTACATCAAAAAGCTATAGTTCCAGTTGAACTTGGGGAATCAATTTCTTAGTCTGGGCTACCTGAAAGGGTTGAAAATATACAGACCTTTTATGTTGTAGATTACTTTACTCTTCCTTGTGGCAAAGAATCAATGCTCAATTTTGATTGCACAATTGAAAGTCAATTTTGCTGATAATTCAAGTGCAGATTGCAATTATTAACACATCCATTATTAAACGATAACTTGAATTTACACATTTCTGTGAAATTTAGGAACAAAGTTCTGGATTCAAAGTGCTAAATGTCTTAGGTATAAAATATGGAGCCATGCTTATTTATTTAATTATTATTTGTGGAAGTTGCCTATCTGATATAATTATCCCATGCAGCTTACAACAATAAATAAAAACAGATATTAAAACAAAATCACCTTTGACATTAGCACAAGACCAAACAGTTTCCCAGGTCAATGCTTTTGTTATTGTAACTTGTGGTTCTGGTTCCAATCTGGTTCCAATGCTCTGAATTGTTGCGGTGGAGAATAAACAAACTGGAAATTCAAGACAGAGGTAAATATCTTGGGAAATATTTATAAACTACATTTAAAAAAGAAGGAAGATTTCCCTGCATATTTAAATTCTGCCTCCAAAGCTAACAAGTATAATAGCTCTAATATACTACTAATATTTTCATCTCTTGCCTGCACATCATAGTAGAACCAAGGAACCATACAAATAAGTAGATTAAGGATTGCTGCTGGCATGTTGCATTTGGCAAGTGTATATACAAAGATAATTGAAGAAATGAGTTGATAAATAGTTTATCATTTTCCATATTAGATTTTGTGCACGCATATAACCTCAGGAATTAAGATTCTTCTTCTGTGAAATGACTACCAAGCCTTGCAGAACTTATTTTCTGCTAGCAACATTCTCTGACCAGTCACCTTGAACTTTTTTTCTTCAAAAAGTTCTGTAATGGAACTGCAAGACTGAATGCTATACAACCCTTTTCTTTCCAGTGTTATGAACAGTTGTGCTGAACACAGGGTTCAATGCCTTCTCTGTAATCACAGCTATTATGGTGGAGAAAAAAGTCTGGGAGTACAATGGGGGTAGAGGCAATCATAGCTTGTTATTTCAACTGCCATTAATATCACTCCTGACAACTTTAGGCTATAGCTCTAAAGAGGAACAGGTGGTCTTGCTGACTTGTAAGAATCTGTGTCTTGGAGACCAAGTTGGTATTTGTACCCTATCAAAAAAATAGGGTGGGGGAGGCCCTTGAACCTAGTATTGATGCCATAGTAAAATGTGCCTTGGTTCACCAGCTTGTGCGACCTGCTACCCATTTTTTTTTATATTGGACTCACCTTCTGGACTCACTTTCATCAGCAGGACACGACTATCAGGAAAACTATAAGCTATTTCAGTTAAGGGATAACTAGTAATAACAGATTGATGGTTGACAGTCAGGGACTTAAATATAGACATGGTTTAACAGTGTTCCTGGGAGGAAAGTAGTCTGGATATGAGAGCCTCTTGTTGAAAATTGTGGTTTACATTGAAAACTGCTATAATGTGAAATGTCAAAATCATTGATCCATGGAATATGCTGCATTTCTTGGCAAACCAATGCAGGACTCCAAAATACAGAAATGTTTCACTTACCTAAAGTTTTGTGCAAATTATATTATACCCAAAATATATTTGGTTATTGAGAATGTGTCCATGATTTCAGTCAGTTGCTTGAAGAAATAATACCATTACTGTACTAGGACTATTAATGCATCATCACTTACTTTCGTCCCATCTTACAAATCAATGTTGAGCCATACATATGCCCATTTGACAACTGCCACATTTCAATCAAAATGTCCTACCAGATCTAACTGGAACACTGTTTAAGAGGACATTTTAAACATCCCTTATCTGGTGACAATTTATAATTATAGATATTTCATTATTTTGGCAATAGCTAATTCTTGTTTGGCAAAAGATGCGTTGTGAGCATGTCCCATGGTCCATAGGGAGCTGCTAGCATAAAGATTAAAAATGCTGTACAAGCTTTAACCACAACTTTATAAAATAATGTTTTATGATAGATTTCATCCTGTGATGCATGACATTCATAAGAGGCATAATTTATAGGCTTTCCTCACTTTCACAACTCCCTCGCCTGTATATTGTGTTGCTCTATCATGCAGTTAAGAAAAGGAAAAGGAAAATCATGTGTCTAGATGTAAATCACTTGTGTGCTTTTTAATTGATGGTTCCAATTTTAATGTGTAAATCAGAGCTAAGCACCCTATTCTGTTTCATGGAGATAGTTGAAAAATTTATGAAGTATCAGGGTATGGAGGAAAAGTTTTGCTGTCAAAAAAATGTCTACTACAATAAGTGTGAAAAATCAGAAAATATGATTTGCTAAGAGGATGTTGCTTCCCAGCCACCATTCCTAGTTTCCTGAATCCACTGTTTGTGTCTCAGTGTATGAGTATATATATCTGGGTGTGTAGAGAAGCAGTCTTCCAAAGAAAGCACTAGTCTGCAGTAACTCACCTTTTTAAAGAAGTTTATGGGGCAGGTATATGTAGTTCAGAAGTGGTAAAGATGGTCATGTGATAAAATGGTCATGTGATTTACTTCAAAGCATTTTCTTATGGTATGAAAAAAAGCAAAACAAATAGCCTGGCAGCCATCAAGGCAAATATCTACAATTAATATTGGAGATATCAGCATACATTGTTTAGTTGATTTTTATTTTATTTGAGTCAGTCTTTCCATTCTTGGCCACTGACTGGTCCATGCATGGTTTAATAGAATAATCTAAATAACACTTTGGGTCTAGTTAGATAATTCTGAGTAACCATTTATGTTAGTATCTAAGCTACCTTTGCTTACCTTTGCCTACCACTTAAAATACTGCATCCAGTTTTGGTTGCCATGATGTCAAAAAGATGTTGAGATTCTAGAAAGAGTACAGAGAAGAGCAACAAAGATAGGGGACTGGAGGCTAAAACCTATAAAGAACAGTTGTCTAATATGAATAGTTTAGTGAAAAGGAGGACTAGGGGTGACATGATAGCAGTTTTACAATATCTAAGGGGTTGCCATAAAGAAGAAAGAGTCAAAGCACTTGAAGGATAGAAAATAATCAAGGAGGGAACCAACCTAGAACTAAGGAGAAATTTCCTGAAAGTTAGAACAATTAATCAGTGGAACAATTTGCCTCCAGAATTTGTGGTTGCTCCAACACTAGAAGTTTTTAAGAAGAGATTGGACTGCCATTTGTCTGAAATAGGGATTCTTGTCTGAGAAGGTGGTTTGGACTAGAAGACTTCTAGGGTTCCTTCCAGCTCTGTCATTCTGTTCTGTACTGTTCTGCCTAACCTGATTCCCTACAGATGTATAGTCATTAGGTCTGGATTATATGTTTAACACAGCATGACCCTTAAATGTATGATCCATAATGAGACATGTGCCCAGCTCAAACAACTGCAAGGTGAAAATTGGATAGTTTAAAGTCAAAGATTTTTTTAAAAAAATTAGAGCAACTATCCAGGCAGAGTGACTCCTAAAGCATGCAAAAGAGCACTGCATGTTGTGATGCCATTTAGAAAGAAATAGTCCACTATATTGGAAATAGTTTGGAATTCTTCAAAGGGACATCTGCACATATGGATGATACCTGTCAGTAATGAACAGTCAATATTACTAAGTGATGACTGAGCTTGGGCTTGCTACGCTTTAGAAGTCAGTGGCAAAGACTCACCCACCTATGTTGTGTGACACAATCGGAAGGGGGAAAAGTGATTAAAAGTGCTTGGCATACCTTGTGATGGGAGGGAAGGCAGCCGCCAAGATTGTCCCTTAGCATGGTATGAGGTCCAGAGAGCACTCAGGGATGCAGATGAATCTGAAGTGCCCAAATGACAGCCAAAATCAGGCACTTTCTGTTCTATCAGAGACTAATTCCATTGCCAGTTGGGATGCAAGATTGTGTGGGTTTGGCTACCAACACACACCAAGGGGGGTCTTAGACAACTTCAAGACCTACAATTCCTTCCCTCTGCCCTCCCCGCAGAGAAAACGACGAGCCAATCAGAAGGCTGGGTGTGTCCAGAGTCCTTTTCCGCTTCTCTCCATCAGAAGCAGCTGCCTGACTGAAAGGAGAAGCGGAGGGAAGAAGAAATCAGAACGGAGGAGAGAGAGGCTCTCATCTCCGACCAAGGCACGCCGCCTCTGTTTGTATACAGTACGCTTTCCAGCCAGCACAGCCTTTTCTTCCAGCCCTCCCTTGCTCTCTCTTCATTGTTCTCTTCCCGGCGGCGGCGGCGGGAGCAGCCAGTCAAGAGGCTGTCACGACAGACGGAAGGGAAAAGAGCGAGGCTCCCCTCCTCTCTCCCTCTCCCACCCGCACACACCTACCAGCACTTTTCTCTGCGAGCGGCGAGTAGGCTCGTGGCGCTTCAGCATGTGAGCTGCGCTTAGGTCTCTCAGATCTCCCCTTTAATGTTAGGCGAGACGCAGAACCTATGAGGAAAGGAAAAAGAGAGAGATAGAAAGAGGGAAGGAGGCAAAAGGGAGTTTTCTCTTTCTTGATCCACAGGGCAGAAAGGTTTTCATTCGACTAGAAATAATTTTAAGACATAGCTTTTAATCGCCAAGTGGCTAGATAGAAGGACTCTTCCAGCCTTCCGCCCTCCTCTGCCTGCGCTAAACTCACGCCTCTTTTTTTTCCATCTACTTGGGATCGTCCCTTGGGGGATTCAAAGACCATGAGCCGCTGGGTAGCCGCCTGGTTCCTGTTGTGCTTGAGTCTCGAACCCCCTTCGTTCGCCAAAGGTGAGGAGGTGGGGTGGGGGCGCTGGTGACTGTGGTGGTGCGGATCGCAGGGACTAGCGTGCTAGATGGTGGGAGAGGGAAGGCGGCGACCAGGGTCAGGGGAAAAGCAGCACCAAGTGGATTTTTTTTTCTCAAAAAAAGTAATCACAAAGTCGACAGGAAAGTAAATTAATGCGGGGAATCTTGTGGGGAGGCGAAAGGAGGGTGGAGGGACGTGTTTTGTTACTGAACGCTGAATAATTCAGAACTGCCTGAACGTGGGTGTTTTCTTGTATGTATTTATTTGCCTTAATCAGATTATGTGTCATCCATCCGCAGACAAGCTTTAGGGATGCAGGGAAGGATTCTGTATAATCCAGATAAGCAGACTGACAATATTGATAATGAAGCAGAAATTCTGTGTGTGTGTGTGTGTGTGTGTGTGTGTGTGTGTGTGTGTGTGTGTGTGTGTGT